CGTTTTGGTTTTACATTGGACGAGTTGAACTAGACTAGCAGCTCGAGATGTTCCCCTTGATCAGGTTGATGACCTAGAAGGGATCAAGGTTTTGTTGAGGCGGACCGCCTTCGGAAGTTGGAAGGCGGACTGCCTTCGACCCGCGGTGTCACGCACTCCCAACCTCCACATGGGTATATACATATGGCATATGGGCGGTGCACCATGTCATGGCACCCACTGCTCCGCAGCGAGCAATTCCAAGTCTCCCGATATCTTCCACGAACTCTGCCAGCTGCTCGGCAGTATGCTCCTGACAGTGTGCGGCTGGCCGACCTGACCGTCCTGACCGTAGACAACTCCAAAAGGGATCAAGACCAAATCAAAGACCTACGGCCGGCCAGGCCGGCCCTGAAAGTGACCAGGTGACCCTCCCATCTTCAGATCTTCCCATCTTCTGAGCAAAGGTACTAGCAAAGGTCTATCAAAAAACATTCACACACATCCGAGAAGCCCAACGCTCGCAGGACTCCGAGTCTCCAACTTCTGGCTCCGAACCAGAAACCCACCCAACCCAACCTGATCGAACATGGTGAGCTTATGGGCATGGCGAAACACAAGCTGCTACCCCACTTGCCATAGCCCCCACTTGCTACCCCATAGCCTCTGGGTCTCCACCACACTTCTTGTGCCAATGCTCATAGGCCATCTGCCCATGCTCTTTCCTCAGATCTCGCTCGGCGCATGCTCTTTGCAAATGGTGCACAGTAGGGGCCTCGAATGGGAGGCTTAGGGTGAAATGATTGCACTCCTACATGGCCCACACTGCCCAAATGCTTGTGAGACACAAGCTCCAACGGTACCATCTGCTCTGAAACTACTGGGACACGAGTGGCTAGGCGATGACCACACATCCCGCACCTCTGATCCTAAAGCAGGGAAACGCTGCTGACGGGGTGCATTTCTCGGCTTGGGCTGTCTGATGGGTTTTCACCTCCAGTGGCACACCCCGCCCTAGCAAGCGAGATCTCTTTTTCGCAAACAACCTACCAGTTACTATAGGGTGGATCAGCGGCGTTGTATTGACTATCATAGTCAGGGTGGATGGTCAGTCATGGGGTGGATCAGCCAGTTACCAGTCCTGCAAGGCCCTGACCCTATGGCTATGGTCCTGGTGATCAATCCTACACCTCTCACCGCCCAGCATCATCACGCACTTGACACGGTCCACCAGCGCACGCGGCCTCGGGTACTTGGAGAAGAATTGGATGGGAACAATCCCACAGACTGAGATAAATCTACAGAAGAATGGTTCATGGGCATGATGCCACACTAGTTGTGAGCATCATTGAAGAAAATCGATCCACCCATCATCCGTGCGTGAAGCCATCGTCATCCCAACGTTCCTCAAGTGTCTGCAGCCCTGCCACGGTGGCTGTGCCACCACCGCCACCGTGGAAGCAGCACCGGTGGTCGGCATTGGCGTGGGCCGGCGCCGGAGGGCGGCAGCACGGGAGGCTAACGAGGCCATGGCTCGGCGCTAGCGGATGGCCCCCCGGAAGGTGACGGATCTTCACCCGAAAAGGATCCGAAGCAGGGGCGGCGATAGGATCTGAGGATGGTCCAAGACTATCCAAGACTTGTTAAAAGTTGAGTGAGGATGCTTCCAAAACATGCGTGAACATGAATGATATATGTTGAGTGTGGCCGCAATGTTGAATTTCGCGGCAAAGACTCCGAAGAGGAGAAGTGTACTGGACCATCCGTCTTTGTAGATGCTGACAACTACTGGCCAACACGTCCAAAAACCCCAGTTTAAACAAACAACAACAATCGAATCATAAAACTAAGCATTCGATCTCCGCACAGCCGCTTGTCCAACCATGTTCGTCCATATTCACTTGTCAGTCTTAGTCACCTTCCTTGGCAATTATCCTTCTCTCAAGATCCCCTTCAGGGATGCCGACCCCCTACGCAAATCTCTGCATGACTGCATTTCTGGGACGTGCTTTCATATATAAACCTCCTGGGTCCAGGGTTTTTTTGTTTGACCACTTTCAGCCGTTTTGTGAAAGAAAAGAAATCCATCACCGTTCTTGGTCAACAAAGGACAAGAGCCAAACGCTACCGGGAAAGATCTGATCACGGACTCCAAGAATGCTGGGAAAGGGCTGTCACACTTCATCCGGTGCGTTCTTTAACGTACTGTGTAACGTACGTAGTGTAATGTGCATGTTGTATGCGTATCTATACACACTATGTATGTGTATATAATATATATATATATGGGTGTGTGTGTGCGTATATATATATATATATGTATGGCATATTGCATATAAAAATATGTATGTGTATATATATATATATGTACGCAGTGTCACAGTACTATACAGTATGATACACATTGTTTGTATGCTTCCTACACTCCACACAATCCATACACAACACATCGACTCGACTTGAGTCTTTCCTACGGATTCCGGCCATCTGGGATTCTCCAGGTCTCACCTCGTTTCCGCTCAGCCAGTTGGAAGAGTCACAAAGGGTTCACGTGTCGCGAGCGGACGAATGACTGGATGCAAACCAAGTCCGATCTTTCGTGAAGCATTCATTTGGTTATATAAATGCTTGTTGTTGAATGGAAGCCCATCTGGGATATGGTATATGTTGGAGGCACATGTTAGATTGGAAACCTCACAAGGTTCTTGTCTTTCCAAACATCGTGTTGAACATGTCTTGACTTCTGTGGGGGTCGTCACTGACGAGACAAAATTTGGCGGACACCTGTTGAATACAGTCCACATCATGCGAGCGACAAGCAAGCTTTTCTGGAGCAGGGTCAAAATTGCTCCGTGGTACCTCGCACCCTTGGGGTTAAGCCTCTCAGGAATTCACACTCTTAGCTGCCACCCACAATGATGTTGTTGATAGGGATGAAGACCAGCCTGAGCTGCACACTGTGCGGCTTGGAAACACGGGCGGCACTTCGAGTCAGTTCAATTGCAGTATCACGATGAACTTCGTCTTGATTCATGAGTGATGGACCTTTTTGCATGCATAGGGGCCTACAAGCGTATGGGGAAAACTGCTGTCCGAGCATCTTCACTGTGTAGCCGATGAAGCCCATGATGGAGAAGCCGATGGCGCAGGCGACTGCAATCTTCTTGAACTCCTTGGCATCTGGCTTGGTGCAGCGTTGGATCAAGCGGCGTGAATCCATGCCAAACCTTGGATGTCACGGTCGCATGAATGATATGTTCTCAATGTGAGCTTTCGAAAATGAAGCTCATGCTTGTTCAACATGTGTCAACTGTTTTGAAAGGAAACATGCAACAATGGATAGCACCGGTAATGACCCGGCAATGTGGATTGTGCCTTGGAACTGGCGATCTTGTTTCACTTGGCTGGCAAAAGCAAGCTCAAGTTGCGAAGTAAAAATTACCGAAGCTACCTGCCCTGCCAAACATTGCCAAACCAAAGCCCAAAAGCTCAATGGCACCCTGCACGCAGTAGCCGACTGGATTGTTCTTGTCCGTGATGAAGGCCGGCATTCCGGAGAGCTTCACTTCTTTTGAGGCCATGGCTGAGCAACGCTGGCCGCGCCCCGGTGGTCGGAACCCTCACGATGGCCAAGTGACACGGCGATTGTGATGGAATCATCGTGAACACCTGTCGACCGGTTGAGGCAGTGAGAGGCCCAAGAATGGTTCCTTAACGACCTACCTACGGGTCTCAGTACCTTTGAGCCGAGAAGCTGAACAGCTGGGACCCTTCAATTTCCATCAGCTGCCTAACCAAGTGGTTCAAAAGCCTGACAACCCAACTGGCACAACTTCAACTGCCTCACGGAACCTCTGAACCTTTTCTGGAGCACTCGGAGAAATCGCTCCGTGGTACCTCGCACCCTTCGGGTTAAGCCTCTCAGGAATTCACATCTAGCTGCCGCCAACAATGATGTTGTTGATGGGGATGAAGACCAGCCTGAGTTGCGCAAAGCGGGTTGGAAACGCGGGTTTGCTTTGAGTCGGTGCTACGATGATTCCAGGCACTTATGATTGTTGACTGAATATTGTGAATATGTATATACATGAATCTACTCTATATATAGATATATTCTTTCCTGCTTCGCGTGCACGGAAAGGTTCAATCACCTTGCGGTCCGAGCATCTTCACTGTGTAGCCGATGAAGCCCATGATGGAGAAGCCGATGGCGCAGGCGACTGCAATCTTCTTGAACTCCTTGGCATCTGGCTTGGTGCAGCGTTGGATCAAGCGGCGTGAATCCATGCCAAACCTTGGATGTCATGGTCGCAGCCAACTAGAATCGGTGAGCTGTCCAAGTTTGAAGACGAACGACGAATGACTTCAACGTAATCGCACGAATATACAAATTCCGTCCAGCAGTCCACAAAACTCTGTGACGTCTGAGTAAGCAGCTTAACTTGCTAACTAAATACATGGGCCCTCCCTTAGCAGGTTTGGGCCACCCTGGAAAAATGAAACATGTCAGACTGGGCCCATCTAGAACCACTGAAGTCACTCTACAGTCAAATACCAAAGCAGTTTGCCCAACCAAAGTCCAGAAGCTCAATGGCACCCTGCACGCAGTAGCCGACCGGATTGTTCTTGTCCGTGATGAAGGCCGGCATTCCGGACACCTTTGTTGCCATGGCGGGCGGGTTCTGCGGTCGACGTCCTTCGTCTCCGTCCAAAATGGGCGCGACCGAGGCTTGAGCCGAGCTCGTGGCGGCGGAGGGAGCGGTTCGGTCGAGCCGGTCGGGTTCTGCGGGTTGGGAAGTCCACAAGGGACGCGCGAAGAACGGAAGTGCAAACCACTTGGCCTGAACACATGAGGAACATAATAAGTGATGCCATCATGCAGCCCTTGAAACCATTTGCCTTGCGAAACCAGTGGCCGTTGCCTCCAGTCCACGTACGGCAGGAACGGTCGCCGTCTTCTTGGCTCGTCCCGGTCGTCTGTCTGCCGAACTGGCCACGACCCTGCCGAACCCGGATCCAGCCTCCTTGCTGATGGCCCCCCACCTCGGTACATCGGCGGGAGGCCCAGCGAACACCATGGACCACTGGGCCAGGACCTGACAGGACCTGAGCCGGTGGATCCTTGACAGCCGGCGTGAGATGCCGGGGCTCACATCCCATAGCACACCTGAAGCTTGCCGAGAGTACATAGCTATGCCCGGACACCCCCCCGGACACCACCCCAGGACACCCCCCCAGACTCACTGAACTCTGGGCACCACTCCAGGACACCCCCCCGGGCACCACCCCAGGACCCCTCCTGAACCTGGTTTTGATCCGTTTCGCCAAAAGTAACCTTAAGCATTCCAGGGGCTGGACAAGCTATGCCCCCCAAGTACTTGCCCTTGGGCCCTACAGGGAAGCAGCAGGGATCCAAGAATTTACTCGAACTCATTCAGACTTAGAGTTGGCAGTTGGAGGCATATTTCAGGGCACATGTGACCATCGCACTTTCTGACGATACAGGACTACAGGGTTCGAGCGTCGCCGCTATTTGTGCACTAGAAATAACTCCAAGGTCTCGCCGACAGGAGTCCAATCTCATCTGCACGGCCTTCCCCCCAGTCCCACCAAGTGTGGGTGGCACGGCTTCAGTTTCCCAGAAGTTGCTGCAATCGCCTGAACATGAACACATGATGTGAACATGTTCATGTGCTGCTCACTTGACCCCCATGTTCCTCCAAGACACCCACAAAGCCACATGCGACGGTGTATACGACCAAGCACCACATGGGCGCCGCAGAGCGCAGCCCACCCATGGCTCAGACGTGGGTGGCTCTAGTGTTGGACGGGGAACGTCCCAAGGGAACGCGCCAAGTTGGGGGTCGTCCAAAATCCTGCACAGTGCGGCAGAAAGACGGAGTGATCATGAGGAGGCGCCACCATGAAAGAAACACAAAACACAAGGAAAAAGGCCTTAACTTAGTGTCTTAGTGGTCCATTTTGGGCACGTCGTCCCTTCTGATTCTTCTGCCTTCCTGAAACATGTTGGCCCCACGTTGCTTCGACGAGTGCCTTACGAAAACTGTGTCCCCTTTCAGACCCTAGTAACATCTAGTAACTATGACGATGTATAGATATAACATGTACACACCCCAAAGTCATTGATAAAGCCGCAAGTTGGGTCGTTGGGTTGTTCGAATGTGCTGAGCAAGGCTCCCAACATTGTAGTTTGCGATCCTCCACAAATATATAATCCTTGCCCAGAGATACAGGAACCTAACTAGGAACCTATGGGAACCATTATTGATCAGTTTTGTATCATTTCGTATCCATGTGTGCCACAATGCCAGCAGTGTGCCAGTTGGGGTGCGATCGATGGAGGTAGTCGGGGTGCCCTTGTCACATCCACTCACTGGATGGGATGAGCCACACCACCCCGAGCTCTGTGACTGCTGGTGGATGAAGTCTATTTGAAGTCCTGTGGCTTTTGGCTTGAGAGCACTCGGTTCAGGCTTGAGAGGGCCAAAGCTCGGTTCATGCTTGAGACGTGTCTGATTTCTTGGGGATGACCGGTTGTGGTGCTGCTGAATTGACAGGAGTTGCGTTCATCACGGCATGCCGTGCTGATGGAGCGGCAGGTTGATCAAAGGTCTTATAGTCACAGGTTGAAAATGGCAAGATGAGCTACAACAGCAACAGTCACGCAAGGTATCCCCCCTGAATTTCTATGCGCATAAAAAACATGCCGGCCTACAGCCCACACCAACTCGTCACCCAAATGCAATCCTTTTGGCCTCCTTGTTGCCCTGAAAGCATGGGCGAACCGCCTCAACTGACCCATTTTGGGCAGTTCTGCTCATCTTCCTCATCTTCCGTCGAATTCCCGCTCGAGCTGCAGCAAGTGGGGCCCTGGTGAACCTGGCACGCCGGCCCGACCCTTCTTCGAGTGAAACATATGTGTTCATGGCCTGGCAAGCACCCGGATTCACAAAGAAGTTTGGGCCTCCCCGCACAACAAACAAACCGTATTGGTAACCTATTCCAAATACACTCGAGCTATTACACCCGATATATGATTCGTGGAGAAATCCACATGTCAGCCATGTCTTAGTGTGCCAAGCTTCGCGAATCGTGACGCCTCCCTCCCCAGCCTTCCCAAACCTTTGATCCGAAATGATGTGCTTCCCATCCTCCACCCGCACCTATCTTCAACCACAGCTACCAAACCATACCAAACCCGGGCTATAGATACAGCTACCAAACCACAACGAACCCGTCACTCGCATCCTCATGTGTTCTGCATGCGTCGTTCCGGATGGTTTCTCTGGTGCCTTCCAGCCGGTCGAGGACGCCCATCCGAAAGCCACCCCGTTTTCTCTCGCCGTCCGGTCGTTCGCCATCCTCGGTCGCTGACCAGTCTGCCCTTCGACCGAACGCGACGAGTCGCGTGGTCTCAGGAGTCAAGTTCAGTGTCAACAAATGCAGAGTCTGGGGTAGTTTGGGGATGTGCATCTGAACAATGCCGATCCAGTTGTTCGACTGAACCCCCGTGACACGTGAAGAACACATCCAAACGTTGGTCGAAGTCGTCGATGGCTTCGATATGCTTCGATCCTAGGGCGACGATCCACGATCGCCTGCATAGGTGACGATCCTCACATCCAAATCAGCTTCCTTGAGCTGCAGGAAGGCTCGGCGCATCGCATCCAGGATCCACTCCTGGGGTTGAGACCGCGTCCCCGAGTCCCCACAGCCTTTTGTTCTCACTGGTTTGCCAAACTGAGTCTTTGTGTTTCTGCGTTTCTTTCGATGATGTGATGGTTCTGACCGACGCCGCAAATTACTGTAAGAAACAGGAAAGTGAGGACACATGAACACTTAAACCACAAAAAAAAACACTTGCCACATGGATACAAACACCTGGACATGGCCGAAGGCCGCCCTTTTTGAGGCCATCCAATCGCATTGAAGGGTGGTCAACCAGCCAACCAAAAATGCATTTCCGACGCCGTGCGAAACACAAAAGGTGTCATAGAGTTATGTGTATCAAGTATTTAGTCGGAAGTTGAATTAACGTTTGACACACACACACACATTGATATATAATATATAACCGACAATATGGAGATGTATACAACCAGTCTACATGCATTATGGGAACTTTATTCATCAACAGACAGCCATGCACCTCTTCCTGCACCTCTTGTTATACCTATTCCTTCTCTTTTTCGTCTCGTCGCCCCCTCCGAGGCACCATGGAATTGCCAAAGACGCCTCCTCCTTAGACCGATCCGCCCCGGAGACGCCGCTGCGCAGCGTTGTACTGTCAAGAGCGATGCGTTTGTGCAAAAAACGGTGTTCAGCAGGGCGTACGTGGGCATGTAGTAGCAAGAAGCTACCAGTAGCAAGGTGCATCGCTACTAGTAACAAGGGCATGACGGCATGACTACTAGTAGCAAGAAGCTACTAGTTGTCTCATGCCAATTACAACTGTTGGCGCAGTACAGTACATCAGGCATGCCCCAAAAAACAAAAATAACCTGCAGTATCCAGGTCTAAAGTGTGACAGGTGTGGGCAACAAAACCCTTGAAGCATCGCCAATCAATTGGTGGCTGCTCAAAATCCCTAGCCCCTAGCCCCAACAACCCATCGGAGACCGAACGGAGACGTAGAAGCCGTCTTTTCGTCCGTGGTTGCCATATCTTTGGAGCCACAAACATGCAGAGCCAGTGGTCCGCGCTGACGCCAAAAATATCAAACAACAAATGCACCTGAATCCTCCAAGGTCGGCTTCCTTCACGGCTCGCATATTTTTGTCTATATATACACTATTCGCATGTGTTTATCTGTTCATTGATCCGCCGGCAAGGGGAACCACACAAAATACCAACGAAGGAAATGAGCACATACCAACGCGGCCGGGCGTCCGAGGCATGTGAGGAAGACTCGGTTGGATCCCTCTCGGCCTTCGTGCTTGATCGCTTGCTTCAAGGCCGCGAGCAGCGTGGCCTCGCGGAGTTGGAGGGAGGTCACCACTCGGCCACTCCTGCCGTTCGGGGTCCGGTGACCAGTGTTACATCTTGTTATCCAGAAAAAGCCTCCCAAACGCAAGTTACAGATGTTACAGCTATAAGCTTGAGTTGAAACGCACCAGCGGCCGCGACCCACTTCAAGTAAGCTCCAGCTGCACGCTGATCCACCTGCGCACCTCGTAGGAGGCCTCTAAGATCAACCTGGCCACCGGCTCCCAATCATCTCTCGAACTATCCTCAGGAGTGTGATGTTGGAAAGCTTGATGAGTGACCCAGCTCTTATGACAAGACCCTTACTCACTACAAGCAAGTGGGTTTATGATGGTTTATGGCATGGCCCAGGTGTGATGCTGGGTCTTATTGCATGACTGAGTCTGGTTCTGCTGGAGTTGAGTGCATGTTTCCCTGACTGCTCGCCAAGCCGCCCGGCTGTAGGCCACTGAGCAGGCTGAACCAAAGACTTGCGTGACCAACCTCGCCAAGGTCTCCCAATCATGGCGATGCAGTACCACGCGGTGAGGCCCGGCCCATGGAGGCTCAGTTCTTACAACAGCCGACAGGGCTAGACATGGCTAGACGTCTTGTCATACAATCTGGCTTCTAGCTCGCTACCGCCCAGCGAACTTGGAACAAAAACCCTGTCCAAAGTCCTCTGCACCAACTACATGGAGCAGGGGGACAAACACAGGAACAACCCAACCCAAAAAGACTCTCAATCTCTGGATCTTCCTACCACTCGACCGGTCAAGCCGGATGGATCTTTTGGGCCGCGCGGTCTTCGACCCGACCGCCTGACCGCCTGACCGCCGACCTCGACCGGTCAGGCCGGGCTCCGAGGTGCTGGTTGGCCGAAGGATGCACCAGCTTGGCGCCCCAAGCGGTGGAGGTGACCTGGAGAGGTGAACCCCCCGCTGCGCCGGTGCCCCGCTGAGGCGCTCTTGGGGCGGGGTGTGGTGGGCTGAAGGAGCGGAAGGACTGCCGGTCCCTCAGCAGGGAGAATATATACATTGGCAGGATGGTCCTTGGGCTTCCCATCAGTATAATAAGTTATAAGGTTGGATCATGGATAAGATCTAAGGGCCACTTGACTTGAGATTTGAAGACTTGCGAGTTGTAGAACTTGTGATTGTGGAGACAAATTCCAGGAACACAATATCACTATGCACGCACGACTACCATTAAACTACTATTGAAGGATACCAAAAGGAATTCAAGTAACGGATGTATTTTGCTCCACGATTTTATGGGGCTCTGGCATCCTTGCTTCAACATGGTTCAACCACATTGTCTATAGTTATACAAAATGTCACACAAACCATCACAAATCTATAGCTGCAAATACTCCTTCGTCTGCACCCCATCCAGGCCGCCCGCCCGCCTGGACCTCCTCATGGAGACCAATGCGGAGCTTCCCCCTGAGACGGTCCAATTGCTCCTCCGAAAGGCCCTTCCTGGGAGGATCGTCGAAGACTCAGGAGGGGCTCATTACCATAGGAGCGAGATGCAGGAGCAGAAGGGTCTTAAGTGATACTACAGGATGATTTTTCGTCCAAGCCTGGAGATACGAAGAAATGCCCTTGTAAATACCGGCACCTTGAAGGTGCAACACCCGGCAACACCTTCGCCAACCACCAAGTATCCACAAAACACGATCCGTTTCCATCTATCTAAACCCCCTCCAAGCGCTGCGCACCCAGTGGCAGCGCTCGGTTGAGCCGCTGCAGCTCACGAAAGGATGCTTCAGTGTAGCCGCTGCGGACGCGCAGGAAGGGTGCAGTACCCAGAGCATGTGACCTCATTGCAAATGTGCTTAATAAGACCCTAGGGATCCAAGTACCTTCTCAGAAGGTGATTAGAGACAGTTTATGTAGGCTTCGAGGGCCCAAGTACCTTCTGAGAAGGTATGCGGATCCCGAGGGAGAGAAAAACATCAATCAATTTACTCTCTCTCTCTCTCTCTCTCCCTGTCTCTATCGCCATTTGTGTTTTGTTCAGTTTGGTTTCCATGGAAGTCTTGCAAGTGCAAAACAGAATGCCACATAGAACAAACAACCTATTACTATTACCAAGAATCTACAAAATGGCGACCTTGGCGCCTGCCAGATGCCAAAATCAACAAAAACTGTGTATATATATATATATACTAAATAATTGTTTAGACGTATTTACCATCATGCAGTACTACCAGAGCGAGTTCAGAGTGAAGTCTCCGTATCCAAGTGGCTCGGGTGCGGTGGGATTGCAAAGCTCATCCAACTCTGCAAGGAAGTCTTGCAGGTTGTTGATTTGCCTGCAATGTTTAGTCAATCTTCAGTCAAGATAAAATGGCAGGAGACACTTCTCTCTCTCTCTCTCTCTTTCTGGACAGTTCTGACAGATCTCCTTCCAAAAACATCGGTCCTTTTGGAGGATTCACTGTCATGGAACACCGCGGGGTCGAGAAAACCCCATCACCGGCCCAGTCGGTCGCGGGGAGGAGCCGAGGCGGATGGGAGCGGCATCCTCCCAAGAGAGAAGCCTCTCTTCAGAGGGCAGGTCACCAGCTGCAAGCTTTAGAAGTTGCAAGCGATATAGTCGACTTAGTAAGAAGTAAGGTGGCAGTGCTGAGCTGCTGGGATCCTAGAAGTCGAATATGTTGGGCCCCAGCGAAGTAGAGGACGTTCTTATTAGGCAATATACCCTTGGCAAACCATTCAAGTTTAGACATCCTTGACTCTCAGGGCGTAGTTTAATAGTCGAGGGGCCTTGTCTGAGTTAAACCTCGACATGACACAATGTCTTTAGTTTTCTGGCGTCGCTTGACTTCCTGTGCATATATCATATATACAGTGGTTTCAGCGAAGATGTCTGTTAGATGGGGATCTATACAAACTACCTTTTGCGGATTGTGCCATCTATTCTGAAACCACTATATTAGTAACTGGCTGGTTGCCCGTGCAATATCTGTGTCACACCAACTTGCTGGAGCTTTTCCAGGTGGACCAACGCCAAGTAGTTCTTAAACATAGCTCTGTCAAAAAGAGAAAAACACTTGTCTTCATACGGCCCACCACGCAAAGCCATGGCCAAGTCAAGGGCACGATCTCTATTACAGCCTCTGACCTTCCCGAACGAGGGTCCGTCTGACTCTCCAAGAAAGAAACCATTTCAACAGCTTTGACTCTCCAGCTGTTTCCCACGTCCGCCCGTTTGGGGCCGCCCGCCCGATGCTGCGCAGGCGATGCGCGCGATGCGCCCGGCCTCCCCCGGCGTTGCCCGACGGAGCCGCCCAGTGGAGCGAAGTAGTTCCGAACGACGGTGGCCGGACCGCAGGCGATCGAACAGGCAGGGCCTTGTGTACGGTCCATGACCTGGGATATGGAGGGGGTGACTTGGGGGGGTGGGGGGGTGGGAGATGGGCATAGTTGATTCATGTTTATTCCCATTGCTAATGAGTGTGGCAAAGATTGTGCCAAGTGGATCCAAGTTGCCAACTTATTAAAGGGCGGCTTGGTGTTCACGTTTGGGCCTTCCAAGTCAGAATCTTGCAGTTTGGAGTTCTGAAGTTGCCAACGAGTTCCTAAGTCGATGCCGCGCTACCTGCTGCCAGTCTTTTTCTTCTATAACCGCCCCACAAAAAGGCTCCGCAACCAAAACTCCGGAGTCTTGTCTGTGCTGTGCGCCGAAGTCCACGCCGAGAACACTTTAAGTGCCGACCGCGCACATAGCCGGTGATGCCGTCTTCGGGCACCACGGAGGGGCCCACAAACTCCAGGCAGTTGAACTGCGACGCCACTTGGAACGTGGCCTTGGTGGAGATGGAGCAACGAACACCCCAACGACGCCGTTCCGGTTCAGGTGAAGGAAGGGTGGCCCTAACTCACCACTCTCTGACTATAGTGGGCAATGTATGAACTACCCAAAACATGATCATGATCATGATCAGGTTTTCATTGGTGTCAATCATCTTAATATTCCATCGACTGGATGACTGTAAGGGTGCTGAAGACCAACAGAATGGCACATCTACTCCCAGGAAGTCTCCCACTGACATGGTGGAATGTGCGTACCGGAAAGGCATATTTCAGGCTGCCACGCAGTGCACGATGGATATATGTATATGTTTGGACATGTTCACACACATGGAGCGTGTTGAGTCAAGAAGCACAGGTTCGAGCGCGTTGATCCCAGATTTTGTGATCCCCTCTGCCCAGAGGGCAGTGGTTCTTTCACCGGAGGGCCTATGTGGAGCTATGTGGAGCTCCACATGCCGGGACTGAGCCCATTGGAGCCGAACACCCAAGGCTGGCTGTGGACATCCGTTGGGCGGACGGAGGTCTTTCCATGCGAGTTGGGTCGAAGAAACGCACTGTACGATGCGGCTCCCAATCAATCCAAAACCATCCAAAACTCAAGGTGGAGAAATCAAAACCATGGTTCTACATTGAATTGGCTGGTGGAGCGCCATCTCTGGCGCTGGTCGTGCCATGGCACCAGGCGGTTTTCAGGCAGCGCGTGCTTCGCCGCCACATCGCCAATCCTAGGACAACGACCCGAAAAGCGACATCAACTATAAAAGACACATTGAAGCCCCATTTTCTCAAGAAACAGGTTTTGCTTTTGGCATTGGAAAGCTCCAAGGATGCTCCCAAGCAGTCCTATATAAGCATCCATGTTGGATGGGTGCTGCGACTTCCAATGAGTAGAGGATGAATTGGAACCTCCGAAGCACTCTGAGCGAGCATCCTCCCAAGCATCAGCACCATGTATCAAGACAACAGTATATAATACATCCTGCTTCTGTGAATTGACTATTATAGTCTTTTTCTTTCTGGGGTCTCTGCATCTCATTGATCAACCCAACGCAAATTTTGCCTGACAACTCCATTGGGTCTCGCTGCACACGTGAATTCTAATTCAGTAAAGTTAAAATCGGTTGACTCTTCCCAGGCGTGCTTGCTTGTTCACAGGGACCTGGACATTGCATCCGACCTCACCCCACCCGATCGCCCTCGCCCTCGCCCCATCCGTTGAGGCTCTCGTTTCTCACCCGCAGCCGTTGCCCGGTGACGGAGCTCGGCGAACTGGCCGCCCGGAGCTCGGCGAGGCTGGGCGTGTCGAAGTGGCCCGCGCGGAAGGTGGCCCTGGTGGCAGGTGGGGAATGGTGGCCCAAATAAAGGGAGCCCACGAGCAGTTTGGGCTTTTCGCTTGCATCCAAGAAGCGGGCTAACTGGAACTTCTTGAAAATACACCGCGAATAGCACAAACATGCACAAACACAAGATTCGGTCTGCTTTTTGAGATACCCCCATGTTCTAAGAAGCATTTGGGAGGCTAGGCAAACTTTGTATTGTTGGGTGCGGAGTGAAACGTGCCATGGCGGATGCGTGATTGAGAAAAATCCACCATGCAAACTCCAAAGGAGTCCACAATTTTCAAAAGAGGGAAGCCTCACCGAGTGAAGGTATATATACATTTACCCCTAGGGCTCCAAGTACGAGCCAGTACCTCCTCACAATATTTGGACGCTCTAAACCCACCCCAGTCCCACCTTCTTAGAAGGTACGACTGGAGCCCTATAGGGTACATGATTTCCTGGTGATTTGGTGGCTCAAGCATGTTCATGCTTCGGTGCAGCACTCGAAGTACAGCACCTTTTTGTTGAGAGAGTGGTTTCCCCACCTGAGTTTTGCATCGAACCTGTCAAACCTTAAAACACTGCTGAGAGGCGCTTTGAAACCTCCACTGGCCCATTGAGATCCATGGTTTGCAAACATGTTGCCCAACAACGTGACGTCGCTGCGTTCTGCCACGCGACCACCCGGTTTGGCCCGGTTCGGCCACGGCGACGCGACGCGGTTTCCTCAGACCAGCTGCCCGTTGCCCAAGCTCTTGAGCAGCAGCATTTTAGGGTCCTTAGACATGATTGGAGGGGTCAAGTGTGCGGGAAAAACCACAGCACGATCCGCGTCGTAAATGAAACGATACGGATGCCCGGTTGACCACCAATATATTGTGTTCTATCATGATTATCATGTTCTATCCAAAGCGCGAGTGGGAGTCCGGTATGGCGTGAACCCTTCCATGTGTGTTGGGGAGGTTAGAGCCATGATCGACATGGTCTCACTAGTGGGAGTTCTTATAGAGGTCCACCTCAAAGGCAGGCACAACTTGCAAAGGATATGCACTGGTTGACTGCAGTCTGCAGTGGTTGACTGGATGGGCACCCATGTCAGAACGAGGTGTCAGGGGCGCAGCTCACTTTCAGCCACATGTTGTCCAAAGGCTTTCCTGGTCTGAGAACATGCCAGGGCTCTTCGGCATCCTCTTCCACTACGAAGGACGCCTGGGTCTTCTCATAGCCCTCCTCGCAGGATACAGGCACAGGGTCGTTTGGGCAGTGTTCAAACGCCAGGTGTTGACTGCTGATTCCAACACAATCCAACAAAGAAAGCCCAAGGTCAAGCATGGTCAAGCACCACCTGCATGGAGGTCTTACTGATCAACAGTCAACATTGTCCACAAGATGAGTGCTTTTGTGCCTTCCAAACCTGGGCTCAACCCTTCGTGGTAAAATCTTGAAGTGTTCTGCCACGAAGAAGCACACGTGCCAAACCTGGTGTAATAACTTGTCCCAACCTCTCATTCAAATGCAGTGTTGGTTCTGACCTGGGATCACCCGAAACAATCCTAAGTGCAGTTATCCAGTTGGTCCTTATGCCAAATGCTGGATCCAAACCACCCGGGCAGCCCCAAACCCTGACCACCCACCGAGTTGAGGCATCATCGAGTTGATGGATCGAGTCGATGCGTGGACCAATGTTAAAACACTTGATCCAGGTACCACTATACCCTAGGCTTCAAGTATGGTGTTTGGGGCGGGTTTAGAGGGTCCAAGTACCTTCTGAGGAGGTATGACTGGAGGTGTATGGATAGTAGGTCACCAGTGGTTCCAGTTCGACTTAATCCGTAGACCTGAACCTCCGGTTCTTGCGATATTGGCAACTGAGATTTACTGGGTAATTACAGCATGACTCCTGTATGGCATGGCGCCCTTCTAGAGGAAAGTGGTTGAGTATGCACGGTCTATGTTCCATGCCCATGATGACCTTGAATCGTCGATTTCGAGGCACTTCACCGGAAAACCAGCACGCCAGTCGTGCCCAGGCAACGAACTTTGCACCGGACCACCTCCTTCCCCTGGTTTCTCGCGCCTCCGTGAAGCCGAAGAGCCGATGAAACCAATCGCGGCGATCAAAGGCCGCCATGGGTGTCCGCACATGAGATATGACCAGGCGGCCTATGTGGGACGTGTGTTTATGTGGGGTGACAGACCCAACTGCCCAAACCGGCCGTCAAATATATTCACATCATGATATGATTTCTGAACATGACGTGAAAATATCCAGTAAATGAGTCCAGCTATCGTTTTTCCATGCACATGGTCAGGTATACCTTGAGTGAAAAGGACAAAAGAAACCTAAGTTACCTAGTTGCTACCTGAATGACGCCCGTTCCGGATGCACATCCTATATACCTACAACTCTGAAAAGCACTTTGAAAAAGGAACGTGCCAAAGCCAACACCGAACTACCAGGCTTCGGCTTCATGGCGCTCATCTGTCAAATGCCGTGGTCTCCCAAGCCTTTTTTCATCCGTTTTGTCCAAGATCCAATGCATTCCAGTGGAAGGACTCCATTTAAGGCCCCCAACGTCCGAACGGAGGCGACCGGCGGGTCCTTTTTTCCCCGCCGGCCAGTCTGGCCAGTGCTGCCAAAAGCAACCGATGAAGCCGTGCGATAGTGCGACGTGACGATGGTGCCGTGTCCTTTTTTTTCGGTGTGCTCGTGCCTTCCACAAGTTCCTATAGTTTTTTTTGTTCGTTGGGTCGACGTCTACGACGACATCTGTCACCTCCTCTTGGACCAACGGCGGGGGGGCACCGGCGAACGAATAAAAAGGCTTCGCTGAACTCCAGCAGTCTGCAAAACATAGTCCAGTATCAGTATTTCTCAACATCGTCCATTCCTTGAGGGTTGTGTCCAAAGTTCTGACCCCCTGCGTGATCCTGCATGCATCCTAAAATATTATCTGCCCCTGGTTGGCTTGGTTAGAAGATGGCAAGATCGGCAGCATCTAAGCCCCTCAGCAGCAAAACTTGCAAGATACATGTGACAGTCTCAGAGTTTCCTCGCACTGCCAAGTTCCACTACTGCGAAGCAGGCTTTTCAAGCGATTCCAATCTCTTCCAACGATGGACATATGCAAAATAATGTGTGCTGCTGTGTGTGTGTGTGTCAACCCCTGTTCCTAAGGGTTTTGGTTTCTTGCATACG